GTGTGTGTGTGTGTGTGTGTGTGTGACATGCATACTGAGCGTGAGTGTTCAGGTGCATGTGGAGGCCAGGGTAAGACATCAAGTGTCTTCCTGTACAGCTCTCCCTTTAGTGCTAAGACCGGGTCTCTCACTGGCCCGGATGCTCAGCACTTTGGCTAGGCTGGCTGGCCAGCGAGCTCTCAAGAGGCATATGTGGGTGTGTCCAGCTCTCCATACAGGTTCTGGAGATTCACACTCAGGTCTTCATACTACACAGCAAGTGCTCCTATACCATATTCAAGTCTCCAGCAACGTTCTTTAACCCAAGGAAGGGGTTAAAGGCCCCTCCCTTTCTTTGAAATTAGGGAAGAATCTGCATATCAAAAAATTAATCTTTGTTGGGCCTTTGAAGTGGCCTAGGTAGAGACACTTGCCATCAAACCTAACAGCCTGAGTTTGATCCCTAGAACCCACATGGTGGAAGGAGAAGACTCCTGTTAAGTTGTCCCCTGAGTCCTACATGCATGCTGTAGCATGTACTCATACATGTGCATACATGCACATACCCATTTCAATAAAATGTAATAAAAGCATTTAACAGTCCCTCAAGTGTTCCAGTGACATTTAGTACGATCAGTCACACAACACAACTGTTACATCTATTTATTTACTAACTGTGTGGAGGTATGTGCATGTCACAATACATGAGCAGAGGTCAGGGGACAATCCAGGGAACAGATTTTCTCCTTCCACCACCTGGATCCTGGGGCTTGAACGCAGGTCATCAGGCTTCGCAACAAGTGCCTTTACCCACTGAGCCATCTTGCTGGCCCTTCAAAACCATCCTGATCACCCCCACAGAGGCCCAGGACCATTAAACACTCACAGCCCTCACTTGTGCTTTTAAAAGAAATTATCTCAAATGACTGCAGAAACTGTTTCTAGTCCCTGGCCATCAAGACTATTGCAAGAACACCTGTGCTTACTAGTGTACAAGTAAGCCCATGCAATAAATCCACAAAAAAGGAGGTGCTTCTTTACCTGAAAAAAAAAAACACACACACACACAAAAAAAAACCCTTCCAAATTGCCCAAGTGCCTCTTAAAGCAACTGCACCAGATTTACACTCAAGTAAATTTTACAATATATAGTGTCTATTTTCCTATTTCATGACCCTTGCCAAACTGATAAACTGAAAATTACAATTAATTATAATTCTATCACTACCAACAACCGATCCCCCCCACACACCAAAAGAAAAAGAAAGCCATTAGACATTTTCTTAAGTTTGAAGCGAACTGGATTCCTCTTCTCTAAACTGTTCATCATCTTTGCCCATTGTCCTTGTTGCTCTGAACTGAAGATTCCTATGGGGAAACTCCAAGGTCTAAGAGTAGAGATGGGAGCTGTGGCAGTCCATCAGGTCACACCCACAGCCCTTAAAGGAAACAGCACTGGGGTCTTAGAGAAAGGCAGAAGGATGCTTCCCTTCTGTTCTCTCCCGAGGAAAAACACGGCAAGAAGATGGCACTCTCAGAAGTGTGAGATATCTTCAGGTTCAAAGCCAGCTTGATCTACACAACAAGTCCCACCCAGGAATCATAGTGAGTCTCAAAGCAAAAAAGACCAAAAAGGTCTGAGATGCCACGAGGGCTAAGTGCTTGCCTGGTATGTATGAGACCTGAGTTCAACTCCTGGCCCAGCAAAGCACAAAGAAGCAATGTATAAGTAACCACATATACATTTCAACCCGAGCAGAAATGTTTGCAAAGTCTCAGGGAGCAAAACATACTTGTTCTACTACCTTAGGAAAATGCTACACTGTAACTCCCAAACTATGGACATAGCTGATGTCTGTAACCCCCACACTACGGAGACTAAAGTGAGAAGTTGCACAAATGTCTCAAAAACAAAACACCAAAAAACTAGTTCAATCTTGACTCTCCAGCCTCCCTGTTCAGTGCCTTCAGCTAGCGCAGTAGATTCATCCAGTCATTAAGCCACTGATGTTTTCATCAACAGAGGGTTTTGAACAATATACAGACCATGAATTGGGCTAGACACCGAGATTATGGCAATGAGTGGGACAGCACATGGTCCATGGTAGGTTTAGTTTTTGCTTGTCTTTGGGTAGGGTGTCAGAGAGACACAACTAGAGACTGAAGAACCCAAGGTCTCACACACTGTACCACTGAAATACAGCCCTTGGTTGTATGAAACAGAGTTATGCTATGTAACTCAGGCTGTCCTCAGACTCTTGATCCAGCTGCTTCACCTGCCAGGTACTGGGATCACATGTGTGAGCTATCATGCCTGCTTACAGTGTGACATCTGAGTTTTTCTTTACTATTTAAAAGAAAACAAGTGGGCTATATAATCTTTAGAAGAAGAAGGAAAAGGAGAAGAAGGAGAAGAAGAAGTAGTCCATTTTCCAACATTATTTAGAGAGAGTGGAAAGCAAATTAAAGAACACATATTTTTACTTGTGTCAACAGCATCTGATCAGTCCTTTGAAAGTAACTAAAGCCGGGCGGTGGTGGCGCACGCCTTTAATCCCAGCACTTGGGAGGCAGAGGCAGGCGGATTTCTGAGTTCGAGGCCAGCCTGGTCTACAGAGTGAGTTCCAGGACAGCCAGAACTACACAGAGAAACCCTGTC